ATAACTTGTATCTTATACTTTGAAATTGAGATAATGATTAGTAATTAAACAAAGTCATAAGAAATTATGTGATATTGTAAAAAATTGAAAAAGACAAGGACCAAGGATAAATTTCTCCAAAAAGTAATGACTTTCAAAGCTTTTCTTGGGATGGAGATAAGTACTTATTTAGGGTATTGAAAGATAGTTTCTTCACCAAAGATGTACAAAAATGATAATGCAAAAGCCTTAGTACCACGATTAATGTTTCATTTGCATCCTAGATAGGGCATGCACTTGCATTACTTTATTATCATTCATTCGATTTTAGCTCAGTCTAGATCATTCCTTATGACTTATGGTTTCATTCTGGTCATTTATTTTTTACCTCGACTCGATCTTGGTCACTTCATTTTTTTGACTCGTGGTTTCGTCTCGATCACCCGATTTTGACTCAGTCCAGATCATTCCTTATGACTCATGATTTCATCTCGGTCATTTATTTTCGACTTCGATTCGATCATGGTCACTTCATTTTTTGACTCGTGGTTTCATCCCAGTCATTTATTTTCGATCTCGACTCGATCTTGGTTACTTCATTTTGTTTGACTCGTGGTTTCATCTTGGTCACCTGATCTTGGCTCAATCTAGATCATTTTTTATGACTCGTGATTTTGTCTCAATCATTTATTGTTAATCTCAACTTGATCCGAGTCTTTTATTTTTTGACTCATGATTTCATCTAGATCATCCAATCTTGGCTCCATCCAGATCATTTTTTATGATTCGTAGTTTTGTCTCGATCATCCGATATTGGCTTGATCTAGATCATCTTCCAAACTCGCGGATCATTTTCGGTCACTTTCGCACGTTGATTTAACTCAAATAAAATAGGTGTTTAGATATTTGCATCATCCCTATCTAACAGAGATATACAAAGAGGGACAATTATAGACACCCATCTATGTCTGAAACAAATCGAAGTCGATTTTTTTATTACTATAGTATAGTATGCTACTATTATTAGAATTATTTAGTATGTGATATTGTGTATATATTTATCAGTATTATTATTATTATTATTACTTTTATTATTATTAAATTGATACACTTATTGTATTATTATTACTATTATTGTACTACTATTATATTATTATTATTATTTTTCTTTCTTTTTGCTCTAATTTGTTTGTGAACAAGGAAATCTGAAGGGGGATTAGGATCAGAATCCCACCAATGTAGTCAAGATTTTAATGCAAAATCGAATCAGTATGATTGCTAAAATTTTGTGACCTAAAATCACGTTAGACAGAACTTAATCGCCTGATTCAAGCTTGGGATTGATTCTGTCCGCTTCTTAAAATTGGTTCTTAAGTTGTTTATAAATTGAACTAAGGATTAGAGGTGCAACATACGAAGAAAAAAAGGAAGAAAATTGTTGGTGATAATAGTTTTAAGAAATTTTTGGCAGTAGGGTTTGATTTTGATTTTAAAAGGTTTTGGGAAATTTGGGTTAGCATTTAGATTTCTAGAGTTATGAGAGGTTCTGGTGAATTTTTGAAGCTTTCTAGGAAAATTTAGGATTTTTTAGGGATTTCTAAGAAAATTTGGATTTTTTGAAGAACACAAGAATTTTTTGATGAGTTTTTTGATGATCGGTTGAATTTTTTAGTCAGATTTCGATCAATTTTCTAGAAATCGACGAAAAACCTAGTTTTGGTTGAACTGTTGGGTTTATTTTAGAGAGAAGTCAGAGCTTTTAAAAGTTAGAAAAAGATAAAATTCGGAGATTCTGAGGAAAAAGGCTAATGATTGCCTTTTATTTCGTTTCAAAACGATAGCGTTTTGGAAGCTCTCAACCTGCGTGTTTACCTGACGACCTGTGTGTCGACTCGTGCACTAACCCGACCCAGATCGTAAGGTTTTCTTTTTTCATTTTATTTTTAATTTTTGATTTGATTTGATTTTATTTTTAGCTCATTTTATTTTTAGTTTTTGTTATTTTTATGGTTTTATTTTTGAAAAATTTTATTATTTTGTAAAAATTGTTTCTGTTTAAAAAAAAAGAAAAAATCTTTTCAAATAAATTTTCAAAATAGAAAAAGATCTTTTTAAGTTTTCAAAAAATATATTTATAAAAACAAAAAAAATACTTTCATTAAAAAAATAATCTTTTTCAAGTAAAAAGTCCCTATAAAATAAATTCATGGAATTCTACCAAATTATTGAGGAATTTTTATCGATTTAATTTTTAAAATGGAATCCACCAAATTATTGAAAATTTCATGAATCAGTTTTCAAAATAAAATAAAGATAAAAAATAATTTTTATATTCTAAACTATTGGAGGATTGTTTCAAAGTAAGTTCTACCAAATTATTTGGAGAATTTACTAATTTTTTTAAATAAAAATACATTAATAAATCCGATGACGAAACTCTTTCAGAGTGAAACACTAGTCTTCATAAATACTTTTGAAGTGAGAGAATTATCTTAAATTACTAACAAACTATTGGAACAATTTTAAGATATATTTTTGATATTAAATTATTTGATAAATCATAAATATGATCAAGGCTTGGATAATCTGAAATCCAACCGGTACCATCATTTGGATGGACGTTATGAGGGGTGCTATAACCTTTCTCACGTGTAATCATACTTTCGAATCTAAACTCTGATTTCGTAAATCAGAATCTACTATTTAAAGATATCTAAGTCAATTTTAAGATTTTTTTTTAGATAGAACAGATTCAATCAGGTAACCAATCACACATAAATAAAAAAGATTTGTGACGACTCTTTTAATTCATATCTAGTGATAGATTCACGGATCTATACGAGATGTCAGCAAGCAAATTGGAATTTAGAGACATGAGACCTTTAACGAGGCCTTACTAGCAAAACAAGGCCGGAGATTGTTACAAAACCAAACCTCTCTCATGTACAAAGTGATCAAGGCCAAATATTTTCCATCAAAGTCTTTCCTTGAGTCTGATTTAGGGAACGCATCTTCTTATATATAGAGGAGTATTTGAGCGGGAAGGGAAGTTCTACATCTTGGTACTAGGTGGCGAGTAGGAAATGGATCACAGATCAAGGTATGGGCTGAAAACTGGATTCCATGTGCAAACAACTTGAAACCTGAGGCCAGGGAGGGTTATAGCCAAGGGATGGAGAAGGTGACTGAACTAATAAAAAGACCACAAAACAGGTGGGATGAAGATAAGCTAATCGAACGGTTCTCGGCGCAGATTGTTAAGAACATCATGACAATTCCTATTGGCCACAGTGACTTACCAGATGTCCAGGTATGGCGTTTTACATCAAATGGGCAGTATAGTGTACGTAGTGGATATCACTTAATGATTTCCACGAGAGGTACGGGCGGTGGCTCGTCAGGTAATAGCACTAAGCGTAACTGGAAGAAATTGTGGCAGTATCAACACCTAGGAAAATCAGAATATTTCCTTGGAGAATGGGCCATGAAGCATTGCCCACTTACGAAAGGCTGAAGCACAGAAAGATAATAGAGTTTGCGACATGCCCACGGTGTCACGAGGAAGAGGAATCTGTAATACATGCAGTAAAAGACTGGCACACAGTAAAGGAGGTATGGGAGTTGGCTAGCTATGGAATAGAGAAACAGGAGACCCAAGAACAAAGCATCCACGAATGGTTTGCATCCTTGTTAAACAACATAGAAGTGGACAAACTATGTCATATTAGAGTAATGTGCTGGGCAATATGGTTCAACAGGAATGAAAGCATCAAATGTGGGAAGCACAGGGATAGTCAGAGACTAGTCGAATTTATTGAGAGGTATCTCCATGAAATTGCAAGCGTCCATGCAGACCACCCTCTTATATCAACTAGAACCGAAGGAAAATGGAAAGCACCAGGGGATCATGAGGTTAAAATAAACTTTGATGGAGCTCTCAATACAGGGTTGAAGGTAAGAGGTGTTGGGGAGATAGCCAGGGACCACCAGCGGAGAGTGTTGGGAGCAGTATCTATGTTAATTCCGGGAATTGCAGAGGCTGAAATAATAGAGGGGATCGCAGCCTTAAAAGCAGTCTACTTAGGCCAGGGGATGAAATGTCAGAATATTATATTAGAGGGAGATGCTAAAGGTATCATCAATCAGATCACAGGCTCACTTGGTCCTAACCTATCTGTGATGGGAAACCAGATTATGGAAGCTCAAGGTAAATTATCCGGTTCCGTGCAACGGAAGGCCAACTATGTTCGACATGAGGCGAATGAGGCAGCACATAGATTAGCTAGAATGACAGCTGAGAAAATGGAAACCAAGGATTGGTATGATGTATACCAGATTGAACTGGAACATATTGTACTCAGAGATTCTATTCAGTAAATTAATGGAAATGCTGTTACTTAAAAAAAAAAAAGTCTATTATTTAAATTAGATTAATAATACGTCTACATAATTTTGGTATTTTAAAATTTTTTCAAAAGTTTTAAGATTAAATCATTATATCAAGTAAGTAATTAATATCAATAATACTTTTTTTTATATTGTTGTACTCTTTAGTAATGATTTTGATGATAAGTTTTCTTAAAATTATTTAATTAATTACTTATTTTCAATTTATTATTTATGAGAAATGTGGGTAAAATATAAATATGAGTTATTAATATTAAATTAATCATTCATGCATGAAATATTAAAAATAAATACTAAACATAAGTAAATAAAAAATTATTAATAATTTTTATCACAAACAAAGTTAAATTTATAATTAACCTAATATAATTTCATATTATTAGCAATTATTTTAATCATTTAATTATATTTATTTAATTTTAAAAGTTAGCAAATTATGAATACCTAAAGTATTAAACTTCAATAGCTCAAAAGTCAAATCCAAAAATTTAAAATAAAAATTCCAAAATTAATTTAATCCAAATTGATTCAATTCAAATTGTTTTAAATTTAAAATAATCTGATTTTCATTTATACAAACTTGATTTAATCCAAATTGAAAATGATATTAATTCAAAATAATCAAATCATTCGTTAACCTAAAATAATTCAAATCCAAAATAAACCAACCCAAAATAGATTCATTGCACCCAATTGATACCTCTATTGCTATTTTTTGTAGCAATAAAATTTGAAAACAAAATATTAAAGGGTGTATAAAACGAATACCATAAAAAGGAGGGTGTGTAACCTAAAATCCAAGTTGTGGTGTTTGTTAAATTATCCACTCATTTGTTCGCTCTTACTCTAGCTTTCATTCCTGGCAATGGAGAATCTATATAGCTGAAAAACAAAGCCATTTTCAAGAGTACGTCTTTCTTCAAATCGGTTGCGGCAAACTCCTCTGTGTTCACTCCCAAGGAAGCCGCAATGGCCATGATGCAATCTTCTCCTTGTAGAGTAAGTCAAGTCTCTCCTTTAATTATTCTGCGTGGCACACAAGGTGTTTGATATAATGCAATGGAGATCGCAAATGTCTCTTTTTGGTCATTGGGTCTTTGTTTTTTATGTACAGTTGTGTTACAAATGCAGCAGCACTCTTCTGTTTACCATAATGTTGCTTCGTGAGCAAAATTCTTGATCTTTGATACCCAGAATTCTTATCAATATCGTAAAAACCAAAGCTTATTGGCTCTTTTAAGCTCAAGTTACCGATCAGTTTACTTGTTTTTGCAGTAGTCAATTACCCATCGATGGGGTTTTTTTATTTTTTTATTTTTTTTATTTTTTTTTTATGGTTCAACTTTGCGTTATATGCTATTAAGTTTCTGAAGTTGGTTTTCCTTGTTATCATTCCTCAAACAACTATTTTTGGGTTATGAAACTTAATACAAGAAAATAGAAGAAACCATTAAAATTGTATTTATAACATAAATCATGTTGGGTACTGTTTAGATTACATGCTTTCCAACGAATTATATATCTTTTTTTATTTGCTTGCAGCTTCCTATCAAATATTTTCGACACCAAACTCATATTGAGCATTAATTACCTTTTCAGAACATAATAAGCTCTATAGTTACAACTTCTTGGCTATAACATGACCTGTTCTTGTTTATTAATTTAACTTCCTGTTGGCTGTTGCTACCTTATGCCAATCATTCTATTTGATTGCAAAGTGATCAAAGAAGAGAATGTGCAATCTGATGTGACTCACGTTTTCCCCTTAGTTTTTTTTTTTTTTTTTTTTTTTTAAAGAGAAGTTGCATATTAAGCCTTTGCCACTAACACTTATAAGATGCTTGGCATTTTTGTCATGCTTTTTCTTTTTTTTTTTCTTCTGAAAATTTTGAAATGAAATAAACTGCAAGGTGTTGCACTTGTTGTTGGTTGTCTCTGGTTTTCATTCTTCAGAAAAATGCTAATAGGTGCAAAATTTGTACTAATACATACAGGTATTGTCGCAAAGAGCTGGTTCATCTCTTAGGAAAACCACTTCTGTTGACTTAATTTATTTCAGAGAAAGCTCTTCAGTTAAGGTTTTCTCTTTCTTAAATATTGCACGCTATTCATCTTATTCTGGAGAAGAGTTTGTTGGTTCTTCAAAGAGAAGATCTCGAGGACCTGTCATGGCTGCAAAGAAAGCATCTCAAGGTCAGGTTCATCACACTATTCTTTTACTGGGAGATGTTAGTGAGTTTAATCAGACTCTGGCTTTTAATTAATCTATTGTTCACAGGCCTTTTTCCTTTTCTCTCTCCCAAGATACTGGCACGAACACAAATGTGCTTGTGCATCACTTATTTTTCACACTTTTTAGATTTTTAATTATTTAGCTTGCTTGCTGTCATCCAGGTCAAAATGAAGAAGAAGGAAGGTACAAGCACACTGTTGATTTGCCAAAGACAACATTTGGCATGAGAGCTAATGCTTTGGTGAGGGAACCTGAAATTCAAAAACTGTGGGATGACCATCAAGTGTTCAAGAGAGTTGTTGACAAAAATGATGGGGTGGGTTTACTATATACTTGTTCCCTTGTTTTATCTTTGCGGACTTGTTAGCTTACTTTTGGTTATTTGTTCAGGGAAATTTTGTGCTTCATGATGGGCCTCCATATGCCAATGGTGATCTACACATGGGTCATGCATTAAATAAGATATTGAAGGATATAATTAATCGTTACAAGGTAGGTATTCTGGCTTCTTTACCTTGGAAATCTAATTTGTTTCCCATGAATTTAGATTTGTATTTGGTTTCGTGCAAGTTGTAACTTTTATAATTATAGGAAATCTTATTTTAAGAATGAGAATGTTGAACATATGTTGGTCTTTATGCGCGGCACTCGCTGCATGCTGATGTAGGATGGCAAGGGGCTAGGGTTTATAGTTGTTTTTATTATCTGATATTCTTGAAGAAAGGAAAAATTGAATAAAGAGAATAGAAGATAAGAAAGATCCTCAAGCTTATACCTAGGGTTCCTTGATTGCATCAGACAATCAAGAACAAAGAAAACTTCAGCTACGCCGAGGGGTTCCTCAGGAGCCACACCTAAGGCTAATTGTATCAGACAATCACAATAGCAATAAAGCTGAAAAGCTTCCCATAACATTCTCTATCACAATTGAAGGAGTAAATTGACTTAATAAAATATTTAAGACTTCAAGTAGAAAAATAACAAACCTTAACTTAAAGCAAAATCTAATAGGATAAAGAAAACCCAAAATGCATCCTAAACCCTACTATAAATGTAAAATACCAATTACAACCCTAATGCTAATTAATGTGAAATAGTCTAAATAATATAAAAAACTTAAATCAATTATACAATTAAGCCCATAAAATGCGACAAAAAATTAATAAAATTTTAAGTAGTTTAATCCTTCAATTAGCTTCTTTCCATTTTGCATCTCATGCTCCATGCACATTTATCAAAGCAAAAAGAAAAATTAAGGCTCTGTTTAGTTTTGTAAATCATTTTTCACTTGCATTTTAATTTTTTTATTTCCATTTTCTAATGTTTTCTTGAATTTTCTATAGAAATTATGTTTAGTTGTGCAAACTAAACTAAGTTCAATTTTATGGAAATAAAAAATAGTACTTCATGTTCATCAGAGGTTTTTTTTTTTTTTGGGGGGGGGGGGGGGCTTCATTATCTTCTTTTCTTAGAGAAGATGGGAAAATCATGTTTTCTTAATTTGGAAAGTCTGTTCTATAATATTGTGGAAATGTAAAAAAAAAAAAGAGTTTTTTCAATTTTTTAGAATGAAAATTTTTGATTTCTAGAAAAATAGAAATATAAAATTTCCTCTCAAAGCATGTGTGCTTATTGTTTTCTTTTCTAGAAAATTTTCTAGAAAGCGCCTAAAATTTTTTAGGCTGAACAGGCCTTACATTCCCTAAAATTTTCTGCAATTGCTTTTAATTGCAATACAATGCAAAACTGAGCCTTAGTCAATTTGTTAATCATAAATTTTCCAATAGCTCAATCTTCATTAAATTTAAATCTGCAAGTCTGTAAATACAAAAATATAAATAGGCAAATACTACTTATCCTAATTTGACTAGGATTACACACATTGTTAAATTTAGGAACAAAACATTTGAATGAACTAAAAGGCATATAATCACATTGGTAGGTTAACTGGAACCAAGAAAACACCCAATGATAAGTAATCTCATTCCAGCGAAAATAATGGAAAAAAGAAAGAATTGTAAACTCAAAAACTCAATTCAAACTGATAAGTTGCTATTGTATTATGAAGGAAACTTTTCCTTTGATTGTGGAAATTGCTTTATTGTTAAAGAACACTCTTACTCAAATCTTTGCCTGATCTACATTTTTTCGCTTCTGTTTAAATTGTCTATAATCTAGATCTAGTGATTTAAACATGGTTTTTTTTTTGGAGCATCATACTATAACTTTGATTCAAATTCTGTTAATAAACTCTTTAAGTTTCTATGTCTGTAATATCTGCCAAACCAACTTAGTTTTGTTTTCATTTTGATTAGTATTGGCCCAAACTGTTGGCTATTGGATAATAAACAGTTTATGCAGTAGTGATGGCATCATTTGATAAATATTTGCTATAATTTGTTTTGATCTTATCCTATTCTATTTTCTTTTCTGGTATCTTCTTGTTTGTTCTTTTTATAAATTCAAGTCAAATGCTCTTCATTCATTTCTACGTTGTTATTTTATTTGGACAGCTTCTTCAAAACTATAAAGTTCATTTTGTGCCTGGTTGGGATTGTCACGGCCTGCCAATTGAGTTGAAAGGCAAGTATGACTAAGATTACTGGTTCTGTTCATTAAGATGTCAATTGACATTAAGTGATCCTTATTTGGATCTATTGCAAAAGGTGCACCTGAAATTTGTGAGTTTGAGAAAGTAGTTGCATAAAATTTGGATTTTTTATTGATGATGAATCTATAGTTCTAGAGGTGGCAATTGGCCAAGTTGGACCGGGTTTGGGTTAGGTCATTTCAAGTCATAGGAAATTCAGGTTCAAGTCATTTTAGGTTTTAGCCATTTTGGATTCAACAGTTGGACTATTCAGGTTCAATTTGTCAACTTTTAAAATAAAATCAAATTAGATTTGGAAAAATCATTCAAACGAGTCTAAATTTGTCAATCGTAGTTAAGTTATTTAATATTAAATTTTATGAAATTGTGGCACGTGGACATACCACATACCTCCAATTTTTATTTTCAATATCATAACAATACATATTTTTTCTAAAATATTGAAGTCATTGGATTATATAAAAATGGAAAGGATAATAACAAGTGAAGTAAAAGTCAATTGGTAATATGGAATTATGTTATATTATATAAAAAATTAACAATTTACTCTTGATAAAACTTTATTAATGATTTCTGATTGATTGATATTTAATTTTTATTTCTAAATTTTCATAGATTGATTATCATTAGCTATTCATTATGATTTTTATTAGGACTTATGAGTTACGACTTACACGATCAAACATAACTCAAAAAGTTAGAAATTGTGTTAATTTTTAGTTATTTAATATTAGAATTTTATTAAGAAGTAAAAAAAAAAGCTACCTAAAAGTTTGAAAATAAATATAAACATTGTTTGCTTTAAAATAAAGTTAAAAATTTACTTTTTGTAAATGACAAAATATGCGATTTTACTTTTTTATTGAACTGTAATTTTTATGGATTAAATTTATTTTCAAAGATAATTATTTATTTTATTATTTTGTTAGAGTTAAAAAAGAAAATACAATTTTTTAATGTTGCATAAACATATAAATTGAATTCAATTATAATGATAGAAATAAATTTTTCTAATTTTCAATTGTTATGAAAAATAATAATCAAAGTTATTTAATTTTTTAAAGGTTATTAATTTTAATTAACTAATATTTATTTTATATTTATTATTTTTAATTACTTAAAATTTTTAAAAGTAAAATAATACTTAATTTAATTTGGACCTTAGGTTAGGTGGGTTTTGGTTGTTGATTTTTTTTAGATCGAATCGGGTTGGACTAGGTTCGGGTTGGGCAAGTAATTCTAGTTGGTTCAACTTTGCCCGTTCTATATACATCAGCTGATGTTGAATTTTATTTTTCAATAATAGATTTGTTGACCTTAATGGCCTTTTGCCCCCATCATTTTACTCTCCGGTCCAATGAGAAAATATTTTGTCATTCATGGCACCTTGATAGCAGGGTCATTCATAGTGGACTTATGAGGAAAGTCAGAAAATCTTCCCAGTTGAATTTCTAAGTTGACTATCATTTTTATTGTAACAGTTCTTCAATCGTTGGATCAAGATGCTAGAAAGGATCTGACGCCACTGAAGTTAAGAGCAAAGGCTGCCAAATTTGCCAAAGCAACTGTCAAAACTCAGATGTCATCGTTTCAGGTGTTAACCAGTTTAGCTGGTATTAGTTGATTAATGTTACCATATCATCACTGAATTTTTCATGAAATATAACATTTATAAGCTTTCCATAGCTAATATTGACATTGATGATAAATTTATTTGTTTTTCTTTTTATCAGTTTTGGTAATAGATGACCTAAACTTGCAATTGAGTAGTTTGAGTTTCAAAATTTTTGCAGCGCTATGGAGTATGGGCAGACTGGAATAATCCTTATCTAACACTAGATCCAAAATATGAAGCTGCTCAGGTATCTGGTACAGTCTCTCTTTGTTTTATTTTACTGAGTGCTCAGGTCAGAGTATAAATCATAAATATGCATATTATCCATTCTGTATAGCAACGGTGTGAACGATACTTGTAGGCAAGCTATGCTACCTTAAAATTTACAAATTTAGTCAAAACTTTGGAACAGGATGGAAAATTTCCTTTTTTTATGTGTTTTGCTAAGAGGCGGGGGGAGAAAGAAAAGTGGGTGAAGGGGATGAAGGAGATGTTGTGAATCATAAATGAAATCAATAATTCTAAAATCTTGCCTTCGTATGATTTCTTTCCAACATTTGAGTTAACTGCCTTTTCTCTTCATCTTCTTCAACACCTTTACATTTCGTGCAACTAAGAAAACTGATACATTCAAGTCTTGGTTCTAGCACATGCCATGAGATGATGTCTTTTGGTACCCTTGTCTAATAGAATCTCTGATGAAAATGGTGCAATCTGCTAGATTGATGTGTTTGGCGAGATGGCACTTAAAGGACATATATATAGAGGGAGGAAACCAGTCCACTGGAGTCCATCGTCACGTACAGCACTTGCAGAGGCTGAATTGGACGTAAAAATCTATTTACCTTATGTTTCTTTGTTGTGGTAAACTTTAGCCTTCTACTTTTTGATAGTATAACTAACAGCAATGTGATTTCACATTTCCTGCTTTTGACAATGATGCGGCAGTTATAGAGTACAATGCATGCTTCTAGCTTTGATTATGCTTCCTAATTTTAAAGAGTTAATTACACATACATATGGTACCTGAACTATATCAAAATGTATGATATGATACTTGAACTAAAAAAAGTGCAATTGACCCCTTCAACTTTTACATATGTATCAAGTTAGTCCAATGTTAATACCATTAATCAAACCAGCTTATGTGACATCAAAATTGGTTTTTTAATCATAGCATATCCGGTTTCGAGGTAAAGGAAAGCTGTTGGAATATCAACATCTGTTTTGGTAAATGAATAATCGGATTTTCAAAGTCATTATTTACAAATACTGGATGAGTTTGAAAACTGATTATTGATTTACAGTCAAATTGTGTGAATGATACTTGTACTTAGATCAAAATGTGGATTTAGTCCCTCTAAAATGATTTCAATATTGACACTACTTTTTGGGATTTAAAATTTTGATACAATTGTTAGCAGAATTAAATTTCTTCTGTTAAATCTGCTGATGTGGATGTTGACCCAATGATGTGGTCTGGACTTTGCTAATGTGGCAAGCTTCATCATTTAATTGTTTAATTTTTGATGATGTGGATTTTTAATCCAAATTGGATGAAGGATTTTCTTATCTTCTTTCTTTTTTTTAATTGTTTTGGTTGACTGAATTAAAATTCCAATTAATAACTCCTCACTCCTCTCAGAGTTAGCTTCTTTCATTGTTTTTAATTGCTCACATAAGTGGATTTTTAATTGTTTTAGTTGACAGAATTATTCCTTTTTTTTTTTTCTTCCTCATCCCTCTCTTTAAACTTCACACTCTCTCTCTCTTTACCATCTTAAACACTCAAGATTAACCACCCATCTTTGCCTAACTCCAGATTCTGGCATCAGTGTCGCTGTCTGCCATCGTCGGCACTGCCATCCGCTGCTGCCATTGGTGTTGAGAATAACCCAAAAGCTAGCCAAAAATTCCTCTTGGCCTCCCCTACTTTTTTACCAGTTTAGATTTGCCAAAAACAACTCCAGAAAGACTAGATCTAAAGCACAATGCTATGGCTCCTCCATCCAAAGACATACTTTTTGCTGCCTCAAATGGCAGAAATACTCCTTTTCTTCCAACCAAAAAAACAACCCCAGAAATACTCATCCCTTAGCCATTATCTTGCAACCTCAAAACCCATAAGAAACTCAACATGGAATCCTAAACATATTCCCTTTCTTTCCTTTAAATTTTTTTTTGTGCTTTTTTTTTTTGTGTTGCTTTGATGATGCTGAATTTTTGGTTTTTCTCAAGTTTTTGGGTTTTGATTTTTAGGCAAGGGTTTTTCAATTGTTGGAGAGGAGAATGAAAGCCTTTTTCCTTTTCCAAACACCAATTTTTTTTTTCTCTTTTCACAAAATCATCCAAACATTAGAAATATTTTATTTTTAGAGAAAACCTTTTCCAAAGAATCTCTAGGATGTCATTTTCATGGTATTGAAAAGAGCCTTAAATTTTTATGGTTTTCTTTAAGCATTTACTAGTTCATATTGAATTTTATTTACATAATATTATATATTACCACATGCATATCTATAATCTATAGTTCTATAATATATAAAAGTATGGATGTAGACAATCTTTTGAACTGACAAAATAGACATCTATGATCATTGCATTTCTAAATTGTCATTTTAAAAATTTTTATTATAAATATTAATAAGATTTATCCAATTTAAAAATAAGAATTATGACTTTTGTTAAATAAATTTATTTGATAAACAAAAGTGAGCTAAAGTTTTCATTAATTTTTTTTAAAGTTATAATTTTACATTAATGTTAAAAAATAATAAACTTTATGTTAATATCATATATTATGTACATGGAACGAACTTTACCTGTTGAGATATGGGTACAATTTCCAAAAACAAGAGAGGAAAGAAAGAAAGGAAAAGAGAACAAAGAAAGAAAAGAAGATTTTGAGAGATGAAAAAAAAATAATTTTCAGCATTGATTGTTTCTGTTGACAATTATGTGGTTGCCAGCCAAGCATAAGCAATAAGGGTTAGTGCTGCTTATCCAGAAAAAAAAAAAAAAGAGTTAAATAATTGCATTGGAAAAGAAATATAATATATGCATAGTTGGATAGAATAAAAGTTGGAGGGTTGAATAGCTCATTTGTGTAAAATTTGAGGGCTACTTCATATATTGTTGTTTGTGTTTTTTACTTATTATTATTGTTATTATTTTTAAAATTATTGTTGTAATAACATATGATCTTTCTTTCAGTGCTGACCTTTATTTTTTGTTCTCTTACATTTCTTCTAGGATTGCTATACTAATAGTTTCTCATTTTATTTCCTAATGTAGTATCCGGAAGGTCACATATCAAGAAGCATATATGCCCTCTTTAGAATAGTGAGTGCAGCTTCAAGTAAAGATGGCCTTTTGGAAGAATTCCTTCCAGATTTATGCCTAGCAATATGGACCACAACTCCGTGGACTATTCCAGCCAATGCTGGTTAGTCTTCTTCGCTTTTGCCCCTCATTTGTCTTAAACTTCCCATATTACTGTCATATTTATTTATACTTATATAAAGCCAGTGTCCATTTCATGCTGGTTAGACATGCATATTACTAAAGTGTTATGCCCTTTGTTTAAGTTGGAATAAAGGTCCAGATAACAATTATGGACTTTTTTGGCTCTTTTGTGTAACTCGATTAGGCATTTGATTTCTGGGCCATTTGGTGGGCTTGGGTTAGCATTTAAATGATTTCAAGAGAGATTTTGGTATCAAATACCCGATCAGGCAAATAAACATCTAGCCAATCTACCTTTGAATCATAACACCTTGTTTCAAATCATAAAATGGCCCACTAATTAACCTTAATTTTCTATCAAACTAACGTTGAGATTGGCTGTCACTCTTTATTTGTTCTTATCCCCTATAAAATTTTAGTTTGACATGGTAAGTAGCTGTGCAAAATAAATAATTATTATTCCTTTGATTTAACGGTGGTCAAAAGCAATATGTCAAGAACACAACCCAACTCATTGGTGCTTTAACTTCCTTTCTTTTTTAAGAGAGAGGGGAAGGCAAGGAACACAAAGGGAGAGGAAGCTAAAAAATCTGATTGAGTTTGGTTTAGAGCCACCAGTTTTTCTCTTCCTCCCAGCCTTTGATTCTGGTTTCTTCTTTATTGTAATTTTTTTTGGTTCCCCATTTTTTTCTGTTTGCTTCAAGAAAATCTGTTCCCCCTCCTGTTTATGAGACTTGAATGTGCTGTTAAGGTATGGTTAGGACTTATGTCACCATGTTTGTAGGCTTGGTATTACACTGTTGTTGGTCAGCCTTGCCATGACTTGATCTCTATCAACATCAAGTGGCACTACAAATTTTATTTATTTTTTTTAATCTTTTCTTACTTGAGTTTGTGTGTTTTGGTTATCCTTATTGAAAGACCAGATTTCTTTAAAAATAATTGGTACAAAAAGAAAATTGTATATATAGGCACATGAGAAAAATATGTTAATTGATGTTAACAAATTAAAAATTAAAATTTGACTGGCTGGATGCATTGCATGGTACTTTCGAGTATGGTTATTGAAGTTGTTACCCATTTAATTCTGGTGACTAGTGATTTTAGCCATAGTTTCTATTTAGGCACTTTCAATGTACACAATCCTTTTATGTTTATGTGCATTACAGATTATGAGTCATAGATATGAATAATGGTGTTAGATAGAGGCCATCATATTGAATGAGTATGTTTTTTTTTTTTTTTTTTTCAATTTTATGGTTAGAACCAAAGAATATCAATCTAATTTGAATTGGTTTCTCTTTCACTTGATTTACCTTGCATGCAACATACATGGTTATTGTTTTAAGTTTAGCTTGTGATAGGTCATTATGTGATAAATTGTGTTAAATTAACCTATTGTCAAATGATTTATGTTATTTGGTTTTCTTGAGTCAATGGTACTGTAGGAGAACTATCATTGACTTTGAAGATGCATAAGCAGCTAGTCTGTGGACCTTTTCTGCCTTGGTTGTTTGAAATGTTGAGGCTCTAAACTTGTCTGTTCAATTTATACCATCTAGGTTGATAACAAGTAGTTTGTATGTTAATCTGGAAAAAATTGACATCTCTCTCCTACTCTCTGTCAGCTGTTGCGGTGCATGCTAAGCTTCAGTATGCTGTTGTTGAAGCAAAATCATTCTTGGAAGATGTCCCCCTATCTGCTGGAAATAAAAGGAAAAGACTTGGAAATGTCCTGAAGGAACCAAAGAAGCCTTTCTTGATAGTAGCATATGATCTTGTGCCAACATTAGAAGCAAAATGGGGCATTAAGCTCATCATCAAGAAAACGCTATTGGGTTCAGATCTTGAAAATTGCAGGTTGGGTTAAAACAGAAACATGTATTTACTTTTCAATTAATAACAACTCAATGCATTATCTGATGATGCATGCTTGGGGAAGTAGCAAAATTGTCAATTTTCTGAAGCATAGATCTTACTTGTGGTTTCAGGTATGTTCATCCGATTAAAAACAGGGAATGCCCTGTTGTCATTGGAGGAGATTACATTACAACAGAATCGGGAACTGGATTGGTGCATACAGCACCTGGTCATGGTCAGGAGGATTACATGACCGGTCTCAAATATGGACTGCCTATATGTTCTCCTGTAGACGATGATGGAAAGTTCACTGAAGAAGCTGGGCAGTTTACCGGGCTTGATGTTCTTGGAGATGGTAATATTGCTGTTGTCAAATACTTGGATGAAAAAATGTCCATTATAATGGAAGAATCATATGGTAGGTTTTCAATTTGAAGCCAATCTTTCTACTGTTGTTCTTACTTTTCTTTGTGATAATTTTCTTAAGGTCTGTTATTGTTGCCTGCTATTCTCATGAAGATGTACTGTTAAAAGAAAATGGGTGGCCATGTCAATATATCACACTCCCTTTTCTTTTATGCAGAACACAAGTATCCATATGATTGGCGTACAAAGAAGCCTACAATATTTAGGGCAACTGAACAATGGTTTGCATCAGTGGAAGGCTTCCGTCAGGCTGCTATGGATGCAATTGGCCATGTAAAATGGATTCCAGCTCAGGTATTAGTTTTAATTGGCACTTGAAGTAAGCCCCGCGTTGCCCACATTCGTATGCTTTGATATTTTATGGATGGTTCTCTTAGTTTGCTAACAGTTTTTATTTTAATGAATCGGTGCAAATTTTTTCCTAACTTCACATGGCATGACTAACATTTCATTTTAGAACCTTAGCAGTTGGTTCAGATGTCAAATTTGAATTTTTTTCTTCTACATACTTATTGCTTTATGGCTATACCATTTTGCTTTGGTGGTCCTGTAGCCAGTGAAGTTTCCTTAATATTTGTTTTATCTACTATTTAGACCTATAAGGGAAAGGTACAATAAATTATTGAAGCCAACATTTACAATTAACATTGTGCCAACATTTTTTTTTTTTGGGGGGGGGGGGGGGGGGGTGGATTTGAACCTGACTTTTAGCCAGGATACATGAACCTACCATTGAGCCAAATTCGAACAATGATTGTGTAGAATGAATATAGGATTCTTTTTGGATTTTTTTTTTCTTTTGTTCTGCTACCTGCTTGTAACTTTTTCATTCTTAGGTGCCTATTCCTGGTTTGCCCTTCTGTGGAAAGTCATAACATATATTTAAGCTCATTGGTAATTTACCTTTCACATCATAAATTAAGCCATCATTAGAGTACTTTTATATTGGTTTAGAAGAAAATTATTGATGTATTACATGTGTAATAGGATTGACATTTACTTCATATTTCCCAGGAGCCTTGTGCATAATTGCTTTTGAGAGTTATGATACCAGGAAAGGTGGCAATAGTGCCATGTTGTGAGTGAGAGGTGTGTAATGAGAGAAAGATATATAGGAAAATTGTTAACACTAAAATCAGGTAGCCTTCTATATTTATATTAAAGAAATAGAGTATGTAAAGACTTTTGATAAACTATTGAGAATTAAAATTTTTAATAATTTAATGTTTTTAATGTGTTTGATAACTCATTTAGAAACCACTTCAATGGAAGAATTTCAAAGAAAAAGAGTTGAAAATCTCAAGTAGTTAAAAGTACTTAAGTAGCATTTGGTATCACTTTTAAGAGCATTATGTGATCTAATTACCATGGTGATAAGATCACCAAGGTGATTTGATCACTAGTGATCTTAGATTATCATGTTTGGTATAATATTACAAATAACTGAAACGTATATCACTGCATTTAGTATTTGCACAGATAGAAAGATTATCGAATATAAAGCACCCTAAATAACCTTGATATTAGTAATAAGATTATTTAAAAGAAAGTATCAATTTCAATTTTATTCAATGAATAATTTATAAAATAATATTTCATTATTCTATAAAAAAATTATAAGGTGTGAAATAGTTCTGATGAGTATAATTCAAAGTTATTGACATGTTCACATAAGTTGTCTAGTAGGTTGCAATATGAGGTCACTATTTCTCAAAACCAATCTGGATTTATGCCAAGATGCTCCACAACATAGACAATGCACCTATTAAGGCTTCTATTGGAAGGTTTTCAGACAAGAAAGAAAGATCTACATATGGTATTTATCGACTTGGAGAAAACATCTGATAGAGTTCCCCGAGAGGTGCTTTGGTGGGCTTTAATGAAGAAAGGAATTCCTTTAAAGTGTATTAACATAGTTAAAGATATGTATGAAGGAGTTGTAATGAATGTGAGGACATTTGAAGGCATGACTGATAGCTTTCCCATTATAGTGGGATTGCATCAAGGTTTAGCACTAAGTCCATTTCTTTTTGCATTAGTTATGGACAAGCTCACTAGATATATCCAATACAAGGTGCCATGGGGTTTGTTATTTGCTTATGAGAGTCCTTAGTTGCTGAAACTAGTGATGATCTTAATGTGAAATTAGAATTATGGAGGCATACACTGGAGTTTAGAGGCTATAAATTCAGTAGATCTAAAATTGAATATATGGAATGTAATTAGTAATCATAGGGAAACGAGTGCTAGTGTGATTAAGTTGGATGGTGAACTAGTACCAAAGAGTAATCATTTTCAATATTTGGGATCAATTATTCAGATCGATGCTAAGATAGAAAGGGATGTAAATCTTAGGATTTAAGTAGAATGGGTGAAGTGACGAAGTGTGTATGTTGTGTGATCCCAACATGCCTTTAAAGTTAAAGGTGAAGTTGTATAAAACAACTATAAGGCCTACATTATATGGAACTGAGTGTTGGGCCGTTAAGAAACAACGTGAGAAGAAAATGAGTGTGATTTAGATGAGGATGCTTGGATGTGTGGGAAGACTAGAAGACACAAAATTAGAAATGAAGAGATTCGAAAAAAATTAAAGATAGTTCGAATTGAGGAAAGGATGAGAGAGAGCCGTTTGAAATGGTTTGGACATGTAAAATATTAGCCTATTGGTGCATCAATTAGGAGAAATGAGCTTCTCGATTTAGGAGAGACCAAAACTTCTGGCAATAAACCGTGAAAGACGTTAATACAAGTAATAAGAAGTGATATAAGGGTTAAGGAAGTAGATGAAAAGGATGTTGTTGATAGAAATGAGTGGCACAAGAAGATTCAAAACTACAACCTAACATGATTTTTTTTTTGCCTTTCATACAGCCGACCCCAGAGTTATGGGACATAAGGCTTAGTTTGTTGTTGTTGTATAAGTTGTCTTGTATAAGATGATTAAAAAGTGTAGATTTATTTATTAAAATAAAAAATTTGGGGAGAAACATATTTTGGTGGGTACCACATTGAAGGTAATTTGTCCTAAAATGATTTTGAAGATCATTTCACCTGATGATAAAACTTTCCAATCATTTTGGATGGGATTTAAATCACCTCATAAGGTAGTGATCTAATCACTTTCGATAATCTAAGATCATTGCTACATAGGATTCCCAAGTTACTACCAAATACAGGGATTTAATCACGGTGATTAGAGCACCCTTGATTTTAAAGACATCACCCCATCCCAAATACCACCTTAGTCTTATTTAAGGAAAAATTTCACACTTAATTATATTAATCTTAAAATTTTTTTAACTACTTATTTTTCATTTCTAACTACTTAGAAAAAAATCAATTAAAATCCATTTAGTATTTAACTTTCATACTGCCAAATGATTTTTATTGTAAAATTCAATACTTAAATTTTCAGAACTAAAAGTTCAGTACTTAATTTTTCAATTTTTAATTTTTTTTAGTTTATCAACAAACCTAGTTAATCTTCTCAACAGTAGAATTTGTTGCTATTTCAAGATTCTATGTGGGATGATATGGTTGGAGAACATAATTTTTCCTCTTTTGTTGGCTATTAAGAATATATTTTATTATATCTTTGAGTTTTTACTTTCTATTTGTTTAGAATTTAATTTACTTGAGCACTTAATTTTATCTTTTGACAAATGGTATCATTTTTGTTGGTGGCTATATGTTCTGTAATTGTGTTTGGTTAATGACTTTTTAGGCAGAAAATAGAATTTCTGCTATGACTTCCAGCCGATCTGATTGGTGCATATCAAGGCAAAGAACATGGGGTCTTCCCATACCTGTCTTTTATCATGTCACTTCAAAAGAACCTCTCATGAACAAAGAAACTATTGATCACATCAAATGTAAGATGTTCTCTAAACCTTGCCGCCTTCATTTATATTTTTTAAACTTGATATAATTTGAACTAACGAAAATTCTTTTCATTTTAAAATTTTCAAGAATTCATTAGTGATATTTTTGGATCCCTATTTCAGTTTGGGTTCTTTTCCACTTTTAAGAGGGTCCCTAATTTTTGCCCCTGTATGGTACTTTTAAACTTCTGTGGAGCTATTAAAATTTCATGCCATGATATTCTAATAATTCATTGTGGCAGCCATTATAGCCCAAAAAGGCAGTGATGCATGGTGGTACATGACAGTGGAAGACCTGCTACCTGACAAATATCGTGATAAAGCATCAGAGTATGAAAAAGGGACTGATACAATGGATGTCTGGTTTGACTCAGGTTTGTTTATTAGGGGTTGTGCTAAGAAATTCTCCAGCTACCTGTGCATCAAGCTGACTTACTTCTGAAACTAGAAGTTTTTTTAACTATTTTTATTTTCCTTTTATTGTTCTTTCGGGGTGTGCATTGGAAGGGGATTACGGTACCTCTGTACTTGTGGTCATATGAAATCCATTAGCATAGAGTTTTAGCAAAGCTATTCCTGGAGGTTGCCGACAAATGGGGAAGAAAGTTTTGTTTCTGCTGCATACTAGATTTATGATATGAAATAGATTGTATTGCTTTTAAAGCACTTTGTAGAACCTGTTCTGTAGTTAGACTATAGATAATACAGAGACATTATTACATGTTATGCAATTATTTTTCCTGCTTTTGAGTGCTGCTCTTAGCTTTGAATTCTGTTATTATGGTTGAGAAATGGTTAATGTTGTTAAATATTGCTTTATTAGTATTCTGATGTTTGTTAGTTGCACATATATGGCAGGCTCCTCTTGGGCTGCTGTCTTGGGAGAAAGAGACGGCCTTACTTTTCCAGCGGACTTATATCTTGAGGGTACAGATCAGCATCGTGGGTGGTTCCAAAGTTCCTTGTTGACAAGTATTGCTACAAAAGGTATCAACGTTGAAAAGAACGTTAACCCTATAAACAAAAGGTTTTTAAGATGCATAATTCTTTTGTCTTGCATGGTATAATTTTTGGCTTTCTTGGTGTGTGACTTTTTCTAGTTCAAAAAATTTGTCCAAAAGAATTATTCTTGGCCATGAAGTCAAAGTGAGAAGTGCTTCTGTATGTTAGACTTTTGCTAGGAAAGATGAAGAAACACAGATGGTTTATTTCCCCAAGACTATATTTAACTATATTAGCATTGGTGTCCTTGTGGTTTACCTGCGGCCTGATCTTTTTCCATTTTGAGAAGTCAATGTTGTTTCATTTTTCAGAATGGTTATCACCATTTTCTTGGATTTTTTTTTTCTTTCTTGACATTGTTGACCTTAGCATCAAATTACTACTATCAGGAAAATAAATTTGAATTGGTAAGCACAAATTCTATTTCTATCTCCTTATCATATTAAGTTTTCAAAAGAGTGATTACCATGGGCACAGTGCCTGATGCAGAACAGTGAGATACAGATTAGAGACAAAACAGAGGGGAAAGGGAAAGCAGAACAAAGAGGGAAAGATTCATTCCAATAACTTAAATATCAAAATCTCAATGATCCAAATGAACCAAATTTCAATTTATTTAGATAACAGAAAGTACTTGTAGGCTGTAGGCTACACTGAAACCAAAATATAAACTCAAAATACCAAATATAATTTTGATGACTTATTATCTGAAAATAAGCTACACACTAACATAAACTTACCTAAATAATCTATGCTATCCTAAACATATAAAAATTATGAGTAAGACCATATTATATATCAATGTAGTAAATAATACTTTAATTGCTCATGCAACATCTTCCTGTCCTGCATTAATGAATGCAGTTGCATTTGGTCTTAATAATTTTAATTATCCTTATGATTTATGTGCTGTGCTGGTGGTTGCAGCTCTGGATTTGGTATTAAACTAGTTTGTTCAAAAGAATATATTACTGCAGTCTAATAGTTTCCAGCATGTCTGTTGTTGCAATGTGATTCATTTAGTTTCATTTTGGCTTCTAGCCTGCTAATGTAGCTAATTGCAAGTATGTTTATGTTCCTTCTATTGTATTATAATTTTATGTAGATGTTCTTTAGCAAGGTATGCCTGTATTAGGATCTGTAAAACCCTATATGGTCATTAGTTCTTCTTACCATGCAGGAAAGGCTCCATATTCCAGTGTTATGACACATGGATTTGTATTGGATGAGAAAGGTTTAAAGATGAGCAAATCTTTGGGGAATGTTGTGGATCCTCGTACCATAATTGAGGGAGGGAAGAACCAGAAGGTTAGTCATTGGCAGCTAGCGCACCCCATCTTGAATTCTTTCTTTTTTTTTTTTTCCCCTGTTCTTTTTGGTAGATATGGATTCTGATGATAATTATCTCATGGTGGTAGGAATCACCTGTCTATGGAGCTGATATTTTGAGACTCTGGGTTTCTAGTGTAGATTATACAGGTGATGTGATGATTGGTCCCCAGGTCCTCCGTCAAATGTCTGACATATACAGGAAACTGAGAGGAACATTAAGATATCTCTTGGGCAATCTGCACGACTGGAAAGTATGTTCTAGTTCTTTTTTAAAATCAGAGCTTCAAAGTATTCCTGACATCATTTATTATCTTGCTTTCCCTCCCTTACAATGTGCTTGGATGAGGAATTTCTAAATGAAGTCATTTTAAAATGCAATTTAATAAAACATTTGTAATTGCTTTGTTTGGACAAATATATTTTGAAAAAAATTTAAGTATTGGAATTTGATGAGATACAATATGATTATAATAGGAAAAAATGATATCAGAGATAAAAAAAAAAGACGTACCAAGAAAAATATGCAACATGAGTGTCATTAGATTTATAAAACAATATTACTAATTATATGAAAAAGAATAAAATATTTTAAAGTGGTTTTTTGTAGTTAAGAGTTAAAGAAAATAAAAGCTACATAGAAAAAAGAAACGTAATAAATGTTCACATCATAATAAAAGACCAAGGAATTCACAAACTCATCCTCAAAGAGGTGTGATGTGAAATGAAATTTTGAACCTTCCAAAATTCTTCATTCAAATTCTAAGAATTTTGACAATTCAAAATTTTATTTTGTCAAACAAGTTAATTTTTTGTAAAATTTTGAAATTCTCTCCACTAATAAAATCCCTAACCCAAACACACCCTTATATTTCCCAACTAGACGATTAAATTGCTCGCTATTTTTTTTAATCCTTCACTAACTAACCTCCATACGTACACAAATAATAATAATAATAATAATAATAATAAAACACACTTGGAAATGAAGAAATTGAGAAGTTTATATTGCATTCACAGTGTTGTTCTCTTGATTTGTGATTTACAGTTTGCCTACTTACATTGGCAGGTTGAAAATGCTGTCTCATACCATGAACTGCCCATGATTGATCGGCATGCACTATTTCAGCTTGAAAATGTTGTAAAGAATATAAGGGATGGTTATGAAAATTATCATTTTTTCAAAATATTCCAGGTATGTATATTTTTTAAAATTGTATATTGAATTCATGATGTCGTGTAACTTTAGCTTCAAGCTTACTGGCATTTTGGAATATGACTATTCCCTAAAATCTGCAAAAATCAGTGTGAAATTTTTGTGTACTTCAAATGCTTTCTTAGTTGCTTGATGGGGTCCAAGAAATTGAGAAGAGGCATAACTAATTAAAGAACCTCTATGTTCTTTTCTCTCTGCCCTCTTTATTTTTATTCTTAATAGTAATAGCATCTGGAAGAGATCCTACTAGTTGACCATGTACTAATACTCTGAGTAAAATGTCGAATTGACAATACAGTTCCAACCTTTAGCTTTTTGTTGCATAATAAAAGTTGTCTTGCTTGGGTATGGCAGCCCCCTAACAGTTGTCTCATTTGATATACTTTAAATCTTCTTACATGTATTTAGCTAAATGCACATCTTTTTAATTTGCTTTGTTTCTAATACTGTGCAAACTTTTTTCCCCTGCTCCAGATCATACAACGGTTTGTCATTGTTGACTTATCAAATTTCTACTTTGATGTTGCCAAAGATCGACTTTATGTTGGGTAATTCTTTCCCTGATTTCTTATATGCAGATATCAATTCTACTCCACTTTTCTTCATTATAGTGTTTAGATGTAGTCCTTTTTATCTAACTGGTGACTTGAGTGTTGAGTCTTTGTCTTAAAGATGTTCACTTCTTCAATCTGATGCACCTATTGTGATTCTTATGTCTAGATTGTCAAGCTTTTTCATGGTATAATACTGTTTTACTTTTATTTTGTATCTTTCCTCATGTAAGGAACAAGTTTTTGGAGTTTACTTTGATTTATAACAGGAAGATAACTTTTACTCCAAGTATATACAAATTCTGACAGATAGAGCTGGCTTTGTATATACAGAGACAAGTCACCTCAGTATGCAGTGTAATTTTGTTGATGCAGTAATTTACTGCTGGCAGTTATGTGGTTTAAACTTGAGCTTTCGAGAAATAACCTGTGTTTTGCTTGCCGAATCAAGGCTACATATAAGACTACTTCAAAATATCCAACTTCTAAAGAAAAGTTTTACTAGTGTGTTTTTCTTTATGAATCTAGGCCATTCAAGCATGATCATCCTGCTAGAGCAAGTTATAACTGAATAGCTTATGTCACTGTGTGCTTAATGCAAATACGTCAGTAGAAATGTTTTGAAATAGCAGGAAACTGTTCCTATGAGCTTGGAACATTCTTCATTTTGCGATTTTCAATCATTTATGTTCTGTTTCCCTTAATTGTAAAAGTGCTGAGCTTCTCAGATGCTGGTTTATTGTCTCTAATTTTTGGAGCAAATCAATCAGTAGATGGAGAATCTTCATGTGTCATCTGTGTTAAGGCATATTGAGATAACAACTAATTTCTTATTTATAAGCAGAAATCATCTGTACAGTCTTCGCCTAGGTGTTTCAACTGTAGCCAACCATTATGCTTAGGCTTTTGTTGCTTCTCTAGTTTCAAAGAAAGTCATTTTGGAGAAGCATCTCTCTTTTTTTCTTACTAACATGACAATTTGCAGGGGGATGACAAGTTTTACAAGGAGAAGTTGTCAAACTGTTCTTGCCGCACATCTCCTTTCCTTAGCCAGGGTAATTGCTCCTATTCTGCCACATTTGGCAGAGGATGTGTGGCAGAATCTTCCCTTTCAGTACGCCGTCAATGATGGTTCCATTGCTGATTTTGTTTTTGAGTCAAAATGGCCAGCCTTGAATGAGGAATGGCTTGCATTTCCGGTTGAAGAAATTGATTTCTGGGGAAAGGTCCTTGAGGTAATCATTCTTTCTTCCTTATAATAGAGTGAGGTGAGGTTTTGTTCGAAACAAGGTCTGAAGTGTCTTCAACTTTTCTTAAAGTTTGTCGTGTACCCTGATCTGCACTTGTATTTCGTGTTTGTTTTGACCACATCCTTTTAGTGAAGGATTGTGTTAGCAAGAAATTTGGAGACGTACAGTTTTCATTACATTCTTGCCAATGATATGGTAAATAATATGAATTTTTATTTAGAAAGTTTTTTGCTTTGATTTTAATTAAACTGCAATAACTGAATAAAGAATTTATCTTCGTTAATAAAATTAATTCGAAAGAAAAGTGACAAGATGTTTAATTTTGGATTCATTTTGTGAGAAATTGCATACATTTTTATATTTTATAAGGGGATATCCAATTTATAAGATTTTATCTCACTTTTAATTTCTTAATACCATGTCGTGACAAATTGCCAATCTTTTTCTTTGGTTCTCTGGGTTTTTGCATTTTCTTTGCTGATTTGTTTTGTTTTTATTTTCCTTTTGTGCCAATGTCAGAAAATCAGCTTGTATTTATCATTGAAATGGATGGAGATTAATGTGATAGCTCCTTTCTTAAAAAAAAAAAAAAAAAAAGAAAAGAAAATATAACTATTTTTTAGATATACTAGTGGAAACTACTTTCAACAAAGATTGGCAAAGTGCTAATGTTTGTCTTGATGATACCAGCTGAGAAATGAGGTAAACAAGGTGTTGGAGGTTGCTCGTTCTGGGAAGTTGATTGGTTCTAGTCTAGAAGCAAAGGTTTATCTACATACATCTGATGCTCGTCTGGCATCTAGATTACTTGGAATGTGTTCAGCAAGAAATGATGCAGATGCCTTGCACCACATATTCTTAACATCTCAGGTATTTTAATTTCTTTTACATATTCTCTTGAAAATGACTGACCTACATTTAATATATATATATATATATATTTGCCTTGCCTATGTTCATAAGTAGGGAGTCACTTATTGGTTTTAGGCTTTAGTTAGTTCTTCATTTTCCCCTGGATTCAAAATCTTGTCAGGAGCATATATATTTTTTATGTGAATCTTTAGTATTGGGTTGTTACCTATAGTTGTTTTATGCTTACTGGACCTCTACAGCTTTACTTGCAAAAATTGCCCAATGACAAACGGATATAGTTGGGGCCAGTTTCCATTTGGGTCAAATTCTGCGTTTAGAGACTTTTGTATATTCTATGACAATGTTGGATTTGGTCCCTATTCTATTATTTAGACAAAATTGAGTCCCTATACCGTCAAATTTGTTAAATCAAGGGCAGCCAATAACACCGTTAGTCTTCACTTTTGTTGTGGCACATGACATGGATCTCTTTTTATATTTGTAACATGGATTTAAATGACTACATGGAACATGTAAAGCAGACAATCGGCAAAAATGCTGCCACATGGCTCCTTCTCTCTCTCTCTCTCTCCTTTCCAAAAAATCCATTATCTTCTTTAGTGTCTTCTTTCCTCTGATTTCTCCCTTTCAGAAGCTAATTTCAATGTCAAAATCATCTCCCTTTATCCCTAAACATCTCTTTATAGGTCCCAAATATGTTCTTACTAGTTCAACACCACTCCACCTTTTCTTTACCAGATTCATGCCTTCTTAGCCTTCTCATCTTGCTTATTCAACTCCATAGCTTGTAAAAACCAACACTGATGGATTGAGAATTTGTAATGTTCCTTATCCTTTCTCTTCATCTTCATGCCATCATCTTTTGTAATGTTATATTTGGCTATTAAGATTTTGCTTGAGCTAACATAGGCTTTTTTCCCCATTCTTTTTTTATGTTTATCCCCTGTGGTTGACCTTCAATTGATGGATTGATGATTATTTTGAGCGTTTTTGCCTTTCATTTGTTTAAAACTAGGGCAGCGTGTAGATGCGTATAGAAGATGTTTGTCATAATGTTGTGAAGAAGCAATTAATTTGTTTCTAGGATTGTAGGTCGTCCTGCCAGTGATACGAAATTTAGATATATTTGTTTCAGGTTTTTTTTTTTTTTTAATTTTTCAATGTATGACTATATTGTATGTGGGGTTTTAGTGAATGGTTATTTGAGGAAGAAATCAAGAAAATGGGTGAGGAAACATAAAACAAGAAAAACGAGTGAAATCGAAAATAGTATGTCATGACCAGCAAACAAAAAATGGTAGCTATTATCGAAACAGGAGAGATTGGCCAGGTTGGCTGGAAAAGAAAATAAATAAACTAAAAGTAACTAAAAAAATGTCCCTTTTTTTTCTTTTTCAGTTTAGTTTTTATTAATTAATTTTTTTGACACAAGGAGCCATGTGGCCAAAATTTTGAAATTTGTCCGCTTTCAGGTGGCCACTAAATCCATGATACATGCCACAGAATCAAATTTAAGGATAGAAGACTAAAGGAGTTATTAATTGTCCTTGATTTAACAAATTTTAAGACTAGAGGGACTTAATTTCTCCATATAATAGATAAGGATTAAATCCAACAATTTTTTCATATAGCATAGGGACTAAAATCAAAATTTAACCTTTGCAGTTGTGTATGCTAAAATTCTGGTATTCATTTATCTTTCAAACCTCGAGTCACTGGAAACTAATCCACCTCATTTTTAAAGGATTGTATTTCTTCATGCATGCTATGTAAAATGAATTGATTTCTTTTCTTAGACTTGTTAGCCCATTTACAATTCTTTTTATTTTTGTGTAATTTTTGAACAGCAGAAAACAAATACATTATTCACTTGTTCTTTAATTTCAATGGAAATTCACAGGTAGAGGTAGTTCTATCTTTGGGGAATGAACTTGTTCAAAATATTCCATATACCGGAGAGTATATGGTTCAGGAGGACAGGGTCTGGATTGGAGTGTCAAGGGCTGACGGTTCCAAATGCGAGAGATGTTGGAATTATTCGCCCAAAGTTGGTTTTTTTGTGGAGCACCCCACCCTTTGTGGCCGCTGTTTTGATGTCGTAGGTATTCAACCAGCTCCGGCAACGGCAGCCGTCAGCTGAGACCTAAAACCAAAATCCAGCTGAAAGAGAGTTAACCGGATTGGCCCATCTACCTTTTGAGCTCCTAGAGTCTAGGCTAGCCATTGTATGGCGGGCATCAATGATTAGGAATTTAGATAACGGTCCCAATCACTTATTTGGTCGTATCTTGTTTATCACATTTTTGGATGTAACGTAGATCATTGCGCTCATCGAGGTTGTCACGATCGTGAATTTTTTTTTTAATTTTACATAATTTGTTATAAAATATAATAATTATAATCATAATCATAAAAATTTTTATTTAATGATTTTAAAAATAATTTATGATACTATATTTTTTATTTTTTAAAAAATATTATTCATAATTTTAATTAGATTATAATAAATATTCATATTTTGTTTAACAATAAAATTTTTGCTTAAGTCAAGTTAATATTCAAATATTAATTTTAGACAAATCAAGATATTAACGAAATAGAATATGTTAAATACTAAGTATCTATATTTAATAAAATGACAAACTTAAAAATATAATAATTTTAAATTCTATCAATTACAATTATGGATATATATTTTAAATTTTATTACATGGTAAAATGATAAAGAGGATCAAATTTTTTATTTTCACTTTAAGAGTTAAGTTGACTCTATTCTCATCCTTGTAGTTTTTGTTTTTGATGTATTTGAAGTGGATGATATATTTGAAAATAATATATTTTGTTAAGGATATATTTGAGAATGATATATTTATGGTACGGGATATATTTGTGGTAAATGATACATTTGAGGTCAATGATACATTTATGGTGGGTAATAACCATATAAAAGTGGATAATTATGAGGAGGTTGAAAATTAGGTTTTTTCGATAGTAATTTTTTTGAGTACTAGCAGATGATTTATTATATTCAAAGTTATTAGAATTTAGTCTACTACCTTGAAGATGAAAAACCTTTAGAAATATTATAGTGGTGTTTCTTGGCTTTTCCTTTTGATCGAGTTATATGTGCACTTTGACTCTTACTAGATTCAGTAAATGGATTTATTCTGTATTCTGTCATATTAATGAAAAGTCTACCAATAGCAGCAAGCTCAATTCTCCTCTAAGTGGGCTGTAAGGTCAATTTGTATCTATATTACCACCAAATTTTGCATCATCACCATCACCATCATCTGGACTTAAACCATCACCATCATCACTCTAATTTGGTGTTGTACTTGAACTTGAATGAGATACATTCTTTTCTTGAGATTGGTATGATTGTTCGATATTTATTTCATTATTAGAATTATCTACAGACAACCAATTAGAGTTTTGACCATCTAACAGAGGATTATCTTTTTCTTGTAGCTATTTTGTTAGTGGATCATCATCTTCAAAAATATGGTTAAGGCTAATAGGATTAAAACTATTATTTATCTTATCAATGCTCATTCTTTTTTTATGTCTCATCTTCAATCTCATGTTGTAATAGGTATATACAAGTTTCTGAAGTTTTTCAAACTTTAATCTGTTTCTTGCTTTGGTGTGAATATAGCTAAATGTGCTCCAATTATGTTCATAAGTGCTATATATTATTCAGCACTCAGCTGTATAAAATTATTTAAATTAAATTTGAATGTGTTATTCAATTAAATAATATAAATAAATTATAATTATTTAATTTACTAATTATCTGGATTCATTTGCTTCTAAGCTTTTTATGCTTGTGGAGTACTAAATATTTCATGCTTGTCTCGAAATAATAGCAACTACATTCGATTAAAAATACAATAATAAATGAATAAATAAAAAATAATTCTATTTTAATATGTAAAATAAATGTCCAAGTTATAAAATAGTATTAAATACTAACCTGATTAATTATTCTGATTTGAGTATCTATATAAGGTTCTAATATTTCAATAACTGCTCTTGTACTGTCTAATGTTTTTTAAGTACATTTGCAGAATGCTCAACTTGAAATTGAAATTGTGGATTTAGATAGTAACCTAAACATAATTCATATCAATATTATAGTAAAGTAATATAAAGATAAATATATAAGCAATTTAAGCATAAAAAATAAACATATTTTTTTAATAAAATCTATATTCTTGGTTTACTTATCAGTTGAATGTAAGTCAGAATGCATTAAACTCCATCTATTATCAATAATCTTTTCATATTCAGCAGAATAACAATAATTTTGCTAAATTGCTTGTGTAGTTCTATCCATAGCCTCGTAAATAAATCCTATTGTTAGTTTTTCATCATTATCCACAAGGCGCAACACTTTTATCAAAGGCTCATAAACTTTTTTTATACACTTGTTTTTTCTGAAAAATCTTTTCCCAAAATAATTTTTTTGGCTTCATAAGCAGGCTTTGATTTTTGTTGTCCCCAATTTGATTCTTTAAATTCCTATATATTCATCGATAAATTTTTTAGAATAATATATTTTAAATTAATATTTTAAACAATGATATCATAAAAAATTGTTAGCTTAAAAGACTTAAAATAAACCAAGAGGGAGGGTGAATTGGTTTTAATAAAAATTTTTAAAAACAATATTCAATAAACACAAATTTAGCTAAGCAAATTATCTAACCCAATAAACACAATAATTGAAAGTAAATAAGAGATAGGGATACAGAATTTGATATCAAGATTTATAGAGGTTCAGTCCCTTTCTCTAGGCACCTATGTCCTCTCTCGTAGCCTCTTTTGCCAAGAAGTTGAATCCACTATGTGTTGAAGAATACAATCAAGCTTGTCAAAGCTTTACAAAATCAACACTACACACTCTTAAGGGTTATCCTCCTCTTTAAGCTTATAGACTCACAATACAAAATTTTTGAAGTATTTTGCAAACTTTAAGAACCTCTCAAAGGTTGAGTGTTTGCTAATTTGAAATACACAATAGTATAGACAAGAAAATAAAGAAAAACTAATATGAAATTATGCACTTTTCTCTTTAAATAGCTTTGAATGCTTGAGCAAGTTGGTAGGTGAATAGCAATAAGTTCTCTTAGCTTTAGTTAGACTTAATTTACAGTGGAATGCTTTATTTATAGGTAGGAAGAAGTTGAAAGCCGTTGCCTTACATTTAATGCTTTAAACATGCAAAAATTTCAAACAAAAAAATAGCCATCGGGAGTTTTTAGGACTCAGGGATTGATCATTTCCTTTAGGGGATAGATTGTTTTAGGTTAGAGAAGGCACGAATTTGTGCTTGAAACACCTTACCCAATCGATCAAGTAATGTACTTGATCGAATCTGTTCTTTAGATGATCGATCCCCTATGTGGGGGGATTGATCCATTTTGCTTGTTTTTGAGCAGGAAAAGCTTTCTGTTTCAGAACCGATCGATCTTTTAATAAAGGGATCGATTCCTTACCTAGGTGATTAATCCTCTATGTGGGAGGATCGATCATTTTTTTGAAAAATTGAGCAAGGAGATCATTCTGTATGAAAAAAATTTATCAATCCATTGAATGAGGGCATCGATCTGGTCAGCTTGAAACCTCAACCAATTGATCTCTACAGAGAAGGGATCGATTGCTTTTTGCCAAAACTTAATGAATTTTGATTTTGGAAGAAAATATGATTGATCCGTTTGCTTAGAGATCGATCTGGTAAGGAGGGATTCGATCCCTTCTATCAATACATACACTAATCAGGTTTTGTTTTGAGAATTTGACTTGTCTTAGTTCTCAAATGGATTTTAGCAAGATAAAAGGTGGAAAAATGTTCCAATTTAAGCTTAGAAGAGATTGATTTAAGTTAGACAAATTTTTGTTTTGTCAAATTAAAACTCTTAGTCAATGTAAGGCCAACATGTTAGATTTAAATAGTTGTACTAATTATAATTACTAACCTTTTGAATTGAACATCTCTCTCAAACTTTACTTTTGTCTCGTTATTTCTTATAACTATATGAAATGAGTAGTAAATTGGGTAAGAGCAGGACGAAGTATTTGCTTCCTTTGTATATATTTCTTCATCAATTTAATAGTTCAAATGTGATTGTATATAAAATAAGTTACTTTTTTTACGTCATCCAAAACCTTTGCCACATTTGTTTTTCTTGCCAATATCCTCGAGGCACAAGTCCAAACAATGAGCTAAACATGCTGTCCAATATAAATGTTGTCTTTTCTCTATTAATCTTTTTCCTACAGCCTTAAGTGCTACCTCATTATCAGTAACTATTTGAACAATGTATTTTTTTCCAATTTTTTCCACAATTTCATCCAATAATCTATAGTAAAAATTTGCATCTCTACTATGAATACTTAAGACATCTATAGATTTTCAAAAAAATGGCCCATTTACTGCAGTAAACAAAAAATTAATGATATATATTTGATTCAAACTGTTGGTCCAACCATCACACATCAAAGTGGTACCCAATTCATTCCAATGAGCTTTTAATCCATTAACATATTCATGAATTTGTTGATACTCAGACTCTAAATACACATTTGAGACCTCATAAAGTGTTGAAAGTTTCACATGTTAGTCAATTTCTACTACCATAAAATCAAATTATATAACCATGGAGAGTTTGTTAACTGAAAAGAAAGTCGATCATATATAAAAAATTTTGATACTGATTCACCCATCTTCCTTCTTAATGTCTTTAAAAATTAATAATTTATTTTTGGTTGCTTTGAACTCTTACTTCTAACTAATTCAGGTATAGCTTTCTTAATGAAAATTCAGATTCATTGGGAGTTGATTTCCTTATTTTTTCATGAAAATATTTAGTAACTGAGCCATGAGAGCTTTGTCCTTCTTCATGTATATTATGTGCAACCACCAGTTTTTTGTCTGAATTCTTGTCTTCTGTGCCACTCATGTTGTTATTAGATACTATCTCACATGGCTTGTCTAGTAGCAATGTCTTCATCAATAAAACCTTCATAGTCATAGTCTTTCCTTTTAATTGTGATAAGAATTCATCTTTTCTCTTTTTGTTCTAGCTTTCTTTAATTTGCTTTCTTAAAGAAGATTCAACATAATTCTCTTACCATACCTATAATAATATAGTTAAGAAAAAAGGAAAAATTAGTTGCACATGCTTATGTAATTTTATAATTTTTATTGAGAAATTAATAATAATATTTTCAAAAGAATTATAAAAATATAATATACCAATAACGTTGGGCCATGGTGCAACATTGCCAGTTTTATAAGCAATGTATTTTCAAAAGAATTATAAAAATATAACATACCAAAT